ACAAATAAATGCTGCTCTTTCTATTCAACAAAGAATAAAAAAATCAGTTTCCATAAAACCATCAAGCAGTACAACTATTATTGTTATGAAAACAATATTGTTAAATAATATTGTTATGATTTTTTTCTTTTTTAATAAATGGGGAGTATAACAGACTTTCACAAACATTGAAAAAAAAAACAATTTTAAATCAAACATCAAAATTAAATAGAAAAAAGGTATTTGAGTTGTTTAAAATTGGCCTAATATAAAATCTAACAAAGTAACATAAATGGGACTTGTGTCTCTAATGGGACAGCAATTTGTGCACCATTTGCGAAAAGTGGCATAATCAAAATTATTGGCCTTGTGGTGCTGTGAAGAGTGCAAAAACGGACATTAAGATACTGAAGATTTGACAAAGTAGTTTTTGGAGCAAAGAGTCAAGCCTTTCACCGAGTGAGTTTTGAGCCAGCACATTTTTATGAGAGAGGAATAGATGGCAGAGGGAGAGCGAGGGTGGAAGAGATGTGATGTATCGCCTGAAGGGATAGACACATCACAATGGCAATCTGAAGTCATTATGATACAATTACAAGGCTGTGAGATCCTGGCGGTCTCCACTGTCTCTAATCCTGCTGTGCTGAAGTGCAGCGAGCGTCTGAGGGCATGGACAAAGCCTCGCTGTGACTCACAGTCTGGCCTACATCCCGAGCCTAAAGTGGCGACGTGTTTACCCGTCACATACTGGTGGCGTTATGTAATAAGTGATGTGTGAAATCCACGCGACAGTTCTCACCTGCACCGCCTCCCAGCCCCACTGTCTGTATTTGGGGTCGTGGGTGAACCTCCACATGTACATGTACGTCTCAATGACCTCCGGCCTCAGGATGAAGTATTTCTCATTTTGCCGTGTGGCGATGGCTTCTACGCCGCCGTCGAAACGGAAGGCCTCGGGACCCAGCTTCATACCTGAAACACACATGCTGTAAAATTCATCGCTTAAACGTCCATGTTGACAATGGATTATGGGATTACACTGTTCCTGAGATGAAGAGAAACACTATTTGGATGTGGATTAGGGGCTGTGGCATAATCTGGACCTCTGATAATCTGTGTCTGCTAAAAATACCTAAGCATTATGAACAGGTTGGTGATGACTGTGTATGTGTGTGTTTAATAAGGGATTTGAGTGAGTGTGTGTGTGTGTGTGTGTGTGTGTGTGTGTCAATGAAAGCAGCACATTAATATAGAACGGTGATTAAACTGACTTGGAATTACATGTGCATTAAGCGGTTTTAATGCATACCTGCCAGCCAATCAGAATCAAGTATTCAGAAAGACCATGGTATAAATATATATATATATATATACACACACACACA